CACCTGACCCAAGCCATGGTATTTTCAATAACCTCATATGGTTGCGAAAGCTGGACAATGAATAAGGAAGATCATAGAAGAATTGATGCCTTCGAATTATGGTGTTGGAAGAGAATACTAAAAGTGCCATGGGCTGCCAAGAGAACCAATAGATCTGTTTTGGAAGAAGTGCAGCCAGAGTGTTCCTTAGAGGCCAAGATGACCAAACTTTGTCTCTCATACTTTGGACATATTGTCAGGAGGGAACAGTCGCTAGAGAAGGATATCATGCTTGTAAGATGGAGGGTCAGAGAAAACGAGGAAGAGCCCCACAGAGATGGATTGGCCAGGTGGCAGCATTGATGGAATCAAGTGTGGCAACAGTAGTGAGGTTGGCCCAGGATTGGACATTGTTTTGTTCTGTTGTGCATGGGGTCACTATGAGTTGGTGCCGACTTGATGGCACCTGACAACAAGAACAATTCTTTCAGAATATCTAGTGTTAAGAATATCTTCGTATTGATTGTGAAGTGAAGAGCTTGCACAGAATAAATGAGGTGATATGTCATCATGATATGGGGTATAGTGAGGTAGAGGGGTGCCAGGTGGGCCAGAGGTGATGGTGGTTAGAGAGCTGAGGGAACAAGACATGCGTATTTTCCAGAAACTACCTACTCCTTTCGGTGGGGACATTGAGTGCAGAGGCTTTGAGGCAGAATTGGCAGGTCCCAAGGACAGTGGCAGTGTCCTTTTGTTGGAACACAAGGAGACAAAGGGACAGAGCATTGGTGATAGATGAGGTTGTGTAAGCTGTAGTGGGTCAAATTGTGTAAGGTCCCCTAAGCCAACCTGAGGGCTGGTCTCTGCCATCTTAATCGGCCGTAAGGTCCTTAGAGGAGACAAAGGGATGTGATCCTGGCTCATAGTTGGAAGCATGTCTGCCTTTTCTGTGGGAGGGTATTCTGAAGAGAAGCAATGGCCGACTCAAGGAGAGGAGTGAAGAGAGTGTTGCAGTAACCACAAGAAGTGACTTCACATTGGCGAGTCTGGCCTCATGAAGGAGGTGACCTGGTGGAGCTGGGTGGAGTACTAGAGTTACCTTACCAGCTCTGACTGCCCCCATCATGGGCTCTTCTTGGTCTCTGTCCTAACCCATCCAGTAAAGCCAAAGTAAAAGGTGTGTTCTAATGTGAAAAGTCATTCCAAGACCAAGAACTCACAACTCTTCCAACTCCCACTTCCTACCACAATCCACTTCTTCCTTTGTCTGCTTTTTCCTTAGACTGTAATGTCCTGAAGATCTGGGCTTGGCACTTGTTCTGTCTCTCAGTCCCCTAAACAACACTGTGTGCATAGTCCAGAGTGGGGTGTTTGAAAGATAACCTATCAAACAAAAACAAAACCGAAAAGACTATATGACAGAAACCACATGTGACTTGCAAAGCTCAAAGTATTTTCTGTCTGGTTTACAGGGAACGTTGTCTTTTCTCCCACGGAGCTAGTGGTCGGACCACAGTCGGGACACCCTGAGTGAGAGACTTTGTAATAGCGTACACACGTGGAATTCCACTTCCGGTTTCTTTTCAGAGAGCTAGCCTGTATTATAGAGGGAGGAAACACTGGTGGTCTTTTTTTGATCGGCATTAGCTGATAAAGATACCATATTTTTTAAAAAAGAGTGAGATTCAAATATTATTTTTTTAAAAAATTGTTTCCAGGAAATGGAGTAGCACATATTCATATACAATTTATGCAATCAAGTCTTGAGTTCCAAACACAAACCAAACTCACTTCAGATTCAGGTCAGAGCTGTAGAAATAGCCTGCCAGCTCTTCCTCCTTGAGCTGCTCAGAGGCGCTCGCCACCACTCTTCTGGTGAGCCGTTGACTACGTATCCTAAGTTGGGTGACTGTATTTTTAATGGCAGATTGTTTCTGTCATTGTAGCCACTCATGAATTTTGTGTTGTTCTGTTGAGGCATTAGTGTCTTCTTCGTGAGTAGTCTGGTGCGTGGACCAGCCGTGGGTGGTGGAGAGAGTTGATCTTTGTGGGATAGGAGGGGTTTGGGGAGTGGAGGCAGAGAGACCTTGTTGATTGTGGTGTTGTAAGGTCTATCGGCTGCAGGTGGAGAGCCCTGTACCATCTGCTCTCGGCATCAGGGTGCCACACTGCTGTTACTCATAGGAGACAGGGACCTTTCTTTCTTGGTGTCCTTGACTTAGTGTAGATAGATACACAGATGGGTACATCTGTAATGGAGAAGTGAGGTAGAGTTGTTAATCGTGACCCTGCATGTTTATGGTTACATTTCAGAGTAAGTCATTCTCTGATTCACACATGAACATTTGTCTGTGCAAAGGTATCTGTTAGAAGCGTTTTAAAATCAGTGTTACTTTGATAAGTAACAGATTTGGAAAGTGGAGCACGTTACTTTGGTTTGCTGAAACAGAAATATATCCTTAAGTTAACTGATTTCTCTCCTAAGGAATCTGTAGCTAGCTCTGATTATTTAAACATTCCACATTGTATGCATCGTTAGATATTTTGTTCTGGTAATGTTGGTGTGATACTTTAAGATAGTCAAGATCAGGAAACCTACCTGTATTCTTAAAAAGAGCACTGTTACAAATTGATAGATACGTTTGATTTACTCCTGCCTTTTTATCTCCAGAGCTATGACAAGTGCTTTCTGGGATCTTCCGAGACTGCTGATGCTAATAGGGTGTTCTGCGGTCAGCTCGGTGCGGTGTATGTGTTCAGTGAAGCACTCAACCCGGCGCAGATATTTGCCATTCACCAGCTAGGACCTGGATACAAGGTAGTGGTCACTGTCCACGGACAGCTGTCGTTGTTTTGTCTTCCTCTTTAGCCTGAACTTGTATATGAACAATTGATGGTCTATTTTACAGGCTGCCCCTGTCCTTGCTTTGACTGATGATATGAAGCTTTTCTACCATCTCTTCCCACAGATATAGTTAATTTGATTCATGTGTATGTCATCTTGTGAGGTCCATGTATAAAGTTGTCTTACTTGTTTATCAAAAAAGGTATTTGCAATGACAAAGTTATTGGTTTTACAAAATTCTATCATGTGATCTTCAATATCATTTCTATTACCAAGGCCATATTTTCCAACTACTGACCCTTCCTCTTTGTTTATAACTTTTGTATTTCAATCACCAATGATTGTCAGTAGATCTTGATTGCATGTTTGATCAATATCAGACTGAAGAAGTTGGTAGAATTCTTCCATTTCATCATCACTCGCTTTGGTAATTAGTGTGTAAATTTGAATTACAGTGATATTAACCGGTCTTACTTGTTGTTGTTGCAAGTGCCATCGAGTTGGGATCCGACTCACAGCGACCCTGTTCAGGGTTTCCAAGGAGCAGCTGGTGAGTTAGAACTGCCAGCCTTAATGGCCCACACCGACGTTGTAGTTTACGGCATTACCCAGCAACGCCACACACTTATTGTAGGCGTATAGATACTATACTATCACAGATAGTATTATACCTCAAGACCTATCTTGAAATGTTCTTTTTGATGATGAAGGTGATGCCATTTGTGTTTAATTTGTTATTCCCAGCATAGTAAACCATGTGATTGTAAGTCCATTTTAGCTCACTGACACCTCGGAGAAAAATATTATGTTTGATAAAGTGGAGGATCGGTCGGAGAAGAAGAGAAAGACCCCGCACGAGATGTGTTGTCACAGTGGCAGCAGCTGTGGGCTCACACGTGGCAACAGTTGTGAGGTTTGCGTAGGACCCGGCAGTGTTTCGTCCTGTTGTGCACAGGGTTGCTGTGAGTTGGTACCGACTCGATGGTACCCAACAACGACAACAAAATGGAATGGATATCGATCTTTATGTGTTCTGATTCATTTTTGACAATTTACACTTTTCCTAGATTCATACTTTGTCCATTCCATGTTCCAGTCATTTATGGATGCTTTCAGCTGTTTCTCCTCATTTTGAGTTGTTGCCTCATCAGCAAATGAAGGTCGCGAAAACTTTACTCCATTCACATTATCACGATCAACTCTACATCTGGCTGTTCCCCTGTTGTGTTTTGAGTGCCTTCCAATCTGAGGGGGTCATCTTCTGGTACGATATCTGGCAGTATATCTAGTGCTCTTCATCATGTTTCAATATTCAATGTTTTGCTGCTATCTGACAGTGTTCCACTGCTATTCATAGGGTTTTGAGTGGCTAAACATTCGGAAGTAGTTTGTCTCTCCTCCTTAGTGTGTCTTAGTCTGGAAGTTCTGTGTAAACCTGTCTACTGTGGGTGCCCCTGCTGGTGTTTGAAATACTGGTGGCCTGGCTTCCAACATGCAAGTCACCATAGTGCGACAGACTGGCAGATGGGTAGGGGGACATGTAAGAGACAGCTTGAATTTACTTTTATTAAATTATCTTTGTTTTCTCAGTAGCTGTAATTTCTATAATAGTATGAATGTCAAATTTCACTCTCATTTTAATGCACGGTGACAGTACTTGCTGCCATATCATTTAATTTGTTTTTTAGAAATGCATTTGTGAGGACAGAGTTCCTTTTTTTTTTTTTTGTCCTGAATCCTGGTTCTGGTGTGTGTTGGCTTTGCAAGAGAATGTGTCAGTGATTCAGTCTTTTTGAATAACATTTTACCTTCCTTTCTTCTCTCCTTCTTTGTCTTCTTCCATATATTTGAAGAGACTGTCTTCAATCATTAATCAAACCCTGTGGGATGAGAATCATACCATTGCACTATGCACTGGGAATGCTGTTGTTGCCAAGTGCCGATGAGTCGGTTCTGACCCTTAGCTGCCCTGTGTAGTTTCTGAGGTACAGCTGGTGAACTTGAACTGCTGACCTTGTGGTTCAAACTGACTCTGCAGTCCAGCGCATTAACCCACAGTGCCACACCAGGACTCCACATGTAAATGTTGTTGTTGTTGTTAAATGCCTTTGAGTTGGTTCAGACCCGTAGCAACCCTGTATTGGGTTTCCAAGGAGTGGCTGGTGAGCTTGAACCGCTGATCTTGTGGTTCAAACCGACTTTGCAGTCCAGCGTATTAACCCATATATGTTGTTGTTGTTATGTGCCGTCGAGTCGGTTCCGACCCATAACGACCCTGTACAGATAGAGGATGGAAATCAAGAGAATCCCTACATGCTAATCGTAAGGTCCAGCAGGACTGCTGTCGTTGTGGGGAAGTGCCATCAAGTTGATTCCAACTCATTGCGACCCTGTATAGGGTTTCCATTGTACAGCTGGTGAGTTTGAACCAGCAACCATGCAGTTAGCTGTCCAGTGCTGATGCTAAACCAGGTCTCCATGACTGCTATAGTGAGGCTCAAAATTGATGGGACTTCTTGAAAGAGAAAGGAAAACAACCTGACTATTAGCAGTTACTATAGTATCCATTTAGAAAAGGAGCAAAGATAGTCCTTATTAACTTTGTACTTAGTAATTTATCATATGGCCATTTGTTACTTAAACAAAGAAAATGAGTAGTGAGTGTAATATCCCCTTTTCGTACTTAACTTAAGTACTCAGTAGTATAGAGTGTCTTCCTAACATCTTACCCCAAATATTAGAGTACATCTAAACTAGCACTTGGCAAAGTCCGTTGCATGAAAAAGTATTGTATTTGAATTGTCTTAGTCTGTGTTGATAACCCATGTTAATGAAAGGTAACTGCAAATCCATGGTTACATACATGTTTTCTCCATTTGTTTATAATTTTCAGAAAGAGGAATGATCATTTTTTTCCAAACTTGAAATTTTTACTGGACAGGGAAAACTAATTTAAAAATGGATAACAGAAGTAGAAAAATGATTCCATAGGATGAAAGTATTCACCCAACTTTACCATTCAAAGAGAGTATTTATTGAAACATTTCTGTGCAGCGTGTCCTTTACTGTACACTTTCTATAAGATACTAAAGAATGAACAGTTAGCATTCATTATCTTTTAGGAGCTTATATAATCAAGTGGGAGTCCTGGTGTGGTACTGTAGGACAAGCACTGGACCGTTAATAGCAAGGGCAGTGGTTCAAACCCACCAGCCACTTCTAGGAAACTATAGAGGGTCACTCTGAGTCAGAACCTACTCAATGTCACTAAATGACAACAGCAGTAATTAAGTAAGGGAGAAAGACATAGAAAAAGCTAAAAAGTGAAGCAGCTTAAACTCATAGTCATTTTAGAATTGAACACTAAGTCCTTCGGAATTATGGAGAAGGTTCTTATGATCACAAAGAACTCAGTATTCATAGCAAGAAGTAGTAACTGTTTTCTTAGAGAAGATAGCTTTAAAACTGGCTCAGTTTGGCTTCTAAGGCTTTTAAGATTAGTTTGAAAATCTTTAAGATTAAGTTCTTAGATGGGTGGCTTGTGCTTCCCTTGACTGCTTTTAACATTGGATGAATTTTCATGTTGCAGAGAACTTGAATTTTCTTTTTGGCAATGAATGTATTTCAGGTCCTCTTCAATTTGTTGTTTAAGTTTTAAAAAATGCACTGGTTTCTTTTACTTTTGGGATGACAGAATTTGCAAGGAAGAAAAAAATCTGCTAAAGTCTGCTATCCATTTACACACTTTCTTGCTTAATTAATTTTGAAAGTGTTCAGCCTGATTTACAGTTTTGACCACAGTAGAGTAATTGGTACTGATTGTGTTCTACTACTGCAAACAAATCTATGACTGGACAAAATTGACAAGACATCCATTTAAAGGCGTATGAATAGTATAATTGGCAATGGACCAAAACAAGAGATGTATCCTTGATTCATTTTGGCTCTCTACCTATGGTCGGTATTTTAATGGAGGTCCAAGGTAGGGCCAAGCAGAGAAGGTGGCTCTTGTAAACGGAGGAGGCTGAGGTCACGGCTCTAGGCTGCAGTTACAGTTGGAACTTGGAAGGCAGAAAACTGAAGATGGAAATCTTGGTAATGGTTCCATATAAATCTGAGAGCAAAGGTTGAGCTGTGTTCACCCAGTGTGGGGTCCCTGAGCTCCAGTGAGGATTTATTTGTGGCACTGGTCTACAAGGTCGATTTGAACCACAAGGTTAGCAGTTCAAACTCACTTGCTGCTTCTTGAAAACCCTCTACAGGGTTGCTATGAGTCAGAACCAACTCCACAGCATGTAGCAATTATTTTCCATTATATAGAAGTATTGACTTCATTGTGTGCCTTTAAATTGTCTGCACTAACTAACCTCTTTGCTGATTATTAGCATGCTTGTGACTGTCATCTTTTCTCTACATTCTCTCTTGTTCTGTGGTTGTTGTTAAATGTCATCTTAGTTCTGAGTCTTAGCGACCCTGTGTAGGGTTTCTGAGAATGACTAGTGGGTTTGAACTGCTGACCTTGCAGTTAACATTCCAGGGCTTATCCTACAGCACCACATCAGGACTTCCTCTTGCTTGTTAGGGTGCTAATACTGATTGCAGGCATGAGATTGATAAAATCTAATAATTTAGCAAATAATTACTATAGTCAAGGAACTGTGCTGATCTCTTGGGATTAAAAATGACTGAATTACGGTTCATACTCTCTTTCTGAGATTACGATTACATGTTTAAGTATCTGTAATCAAACCTTTTATTGTGTTTACCAAAGATGATATACACACAGTGTAGCTGTTGTTGAAGTTTTGTGGTGGGACAGCTCCTTTCAGTCTCAGGATTCTGACAACTTCATAGAGAAGGAGGTTTCAGAGGGTGAGCAGGAGGTGACCGTGGAGTGTGAGACAGAGGGTTGAGGGGAGGGATAGGAGCCAGGGAACACAGAATGAAGTGTTGGGTTGATGGTGCAATACAGT